TCTTCTTCTTCTTCTTCTTCTTCTTCTTCTTCTTCTTCTTCTTCTTCTTCTTCTTCTTCTTCTTCTTCTTCTTCTCCGTCTTACTTCACCTGGGCACCGTTACCAGCTCCTCACTTCAACTTCATCTGAATTACCAAAATGGAACCTACCAGTGTTGGTTCCATGGCCCAAGTCAACATGAACACCGAGCCAAGCGCCAGCTCAAGCCCCCTATCCATTTCTTCCCTCGAGATCACCCAATCCACGGATTCTGCACAATCCTCCAACTCGAACCCCTCTTCTCCCGCGGAAGCAGTCATCGAAACAGAGCCCTTCCAAGCTACGGCACCAAAAGAAAATGAAGATGCAGTCTCTGTCGAACCTGCAGTCTCTGTCGAACCGAATGGCAAGAAACGGCGTCTAGACACAATTCCCACCAGCGCCACCACAACTCTCATGTCATACCAGGAGACAAATAGTAACCCGAACATATCCGATCCCGATGAATTGAATATCGACCACTTGCTACCATGGCTTCTAGAGCGCAAGCTCGAACAAATCGAGAAAGCCAAAAAGGAGGCACAATCCAATATCTCCAAAATGCCCTTTTTCGACTCCGATCTGTGGAAATATGTGCTGGCAGATATCAACTTCAGCAGACTGGCTGCAGACATTGTTGAATATGGCAAGGCCCGTGGCCCGCATCCTTCAGAGGATCCTCATATTAAAATCATGAGACGCATTGTCGCTGCTGCAGATGGAGGTCCAACAGAGACTCGGGCACGCTTGCGTACTAGATATCGGTCGCTTGCGCAGCGGGAGAGAGCACAGATGAAATTGGTTATCGCGGAGTTTTGCAAATTACCTTCTACGCGGTTGTTTCTTCTTTCTTGATTTCTGTATGTGAGAGGAGAATCTGGACCGGAGAATTTGGGGATGGTGGAAATACAGCAATGAGATGAGAAAAAGCGAAGGAGAAACAAGAAAAAAATTGAGGGCCTTGGAATGGGAGGGAGATGGATGACAGCGGGAAACAGTCAATGCCGAGGATACCAGGCCGATATGCGGACGAAGCGCGAGAGGTAGCGAGCTGTGCCAGTTCATGGTTTTCATATTTCCATATTTGCTTGCTGAGAATTGACAATTTCCGGCGTTGAGGAAGCGCCTTGACTCGAAGGAACCTGTCGCATAGTCGTGGGCTGGTTTCTGTCAAGTGACTCAACCATTTGAAATACTGGATAGTTCAGTTGGACAGGACATATTTCCTCCCCTCATTCTTATGTAGCTATCAGTAATTAAGTACTGCCTGACCAAGTAATGTAGTTGCCAATGTCGAGTTACGAGTCTACAGACACAACAATGAAACGCTGAGAGGGAATCAATTCACCGAGCAAACGGTCTATCATGTAATCAAGAGGGTATCTCCATAGGAGAGGACAAGGCAAAGCCATCCAATCCAACCATTCTTCCCAAAAAAGAGGTCCAGAAACAAGACCCAGTCCAAATAAACCAACCCACGCAAAACCAGAGGGCAATAGCGCCGAAAGAGTACCATGTTCAAAGTCCGACGCACCAGATATCGACAGTGCTAAGTAACAGTATAAGAATGCGGCATATGAAAACAGGAGCGAAAATGATAATTAACAGGTCATAATCAGGGCATCTCAGATCATTTTCCAAACCAGGGATCCATGATCAATGCAGGGGGTGCATGCGTAAGCAATGCGAAATGTGAAAATGAAGATTTTGAAACAATTCAAAAGAAAATTAACCAAGATGGGGAACCTCGTCGGAAGAGTTGGCCACGGCACTCTGGAGGGCGGCGTTCAAATCGATATGGAAGAAAGGTCGGTTCATGCCCTGCACGAGCGCAACCTTGCGACGGCTGCTGTAAGCCTTGCTGTGGGTGATATCTGAAGTGAATTTGTCCTCGTGGATGACGTCGGAGTGCTCGGAAGCCGAGCTCTCGACACCATGAGTCTCGCGTTCGATGGCGCTGTGCTCGGACTTGAGACCGTGCTCGGGGTCATCGGCTTTGTGGTAGGACAGCTCGCGCTGGTTGTTGATGATCTCGGCATGGGCAGCGGCAGAGGCGTTTCCTTCGATTTCAGCGACGCTGAAAATGGGTTTCCACCGGTGGAAGCCTTCGTTGGAGACTGGGGTTGGGTATCCGAAGCCGGCGGCTGCCAGGCCGCGCTTTGTCCAGCGGTTGTTGATGTGTGCGAAGTGCCATTGTACCGAGCGGGGAGAGGCGTACAGATCCAGCTGGTTGCGAACATCGATCAGGTTCTGGATGGAGGTGACATCCACGTTGTTCACAGATGAGAAGTCCAGAATGACGGCCTGCAGGAGGGGCAGGTGGGAGTCGTCTTGAGAGCCCTCCTTGCCGCGGCGAGGGCCGGAGTCGTTCCAGGGGCGATCGCCGCGGTTCTTGTAGGCTTGTGGGTTCGTCCGGCGAGTGTTCTTGAAGATGGTCGAGACCAAGAAGTCGGTGTAGTGGTTGGCGTTGGGGTAGTTGAAACCTTCGGCGAATCGGTAGATGAAGATACCGGGGAGAGGCTGCTCCACCTGGATGTCAGGGTTGGAACCATCGGTGTGGTTGATGGGCAGGAAGATGGTACGGTGGTGGTGATCTTCGTCGTCGGAGGGCTTCTTGTCGTTGGCGAGAGAACCGTACTTTCCATCGGTGTCCAAAAGGTGGTCTCCGACCACAGAGTGAATAGTGACACGTCCGAGGAACTGACCACGAGCCTTGGCAATGCGGAAGAGGAGAACTGCAAGCGACACACAGATGGTGCAGTAGATACCATCTTCGATAGAGGTGAACACAGTAACAATGACACCAATGAAGAAGATGAGCGCATCAAGAGGGGATACACGCCAGAATTGGTACACAGTGTTGGGAGGGGTGATCAGATCACCAACAGCGTGGATAATAACACCAGCCAAGGAGGCCTTGGGGATGTAATAGAAGACAGCGGGCAAAGCGTAAATGGCCAGGAGCACCACAACAGCGGTGATAACACCAGCGAGGGGAGTCCGGACACCAGCCTTGGACTTGATGGCAGTTCGAGAGAAAGAGCCAGTGGCAGGGTAACCACCGAGGAAAGGACCGAGAAGGTTGCTAACACCAATAGCCACGAATTCTTGAGAAGGGTCGATGGTGTAGTTGTTCACACGACCAAACGACTTGGAGATAGCGATGTGCTCAATCAGAAGAACAATTACTGCGGCAGGGAGTTGGCCGGCGTACTCCTTGAGGATGTAGCGGTCCATGGTGGGCACAGCGGCCTGTTGGAATCCACGAGGAACATATCCAAGGAGCTGGAATGCCGGGTTGTCCTTGCGGTGCAAGTTGGTCGCGGCACTGATCATGGTGTAAAAGAGGATCACAAACACTGTGCGGAGGGTGGAAATGAAGAACCAAACCTTAGCCCGGTGAGGTTGCTTCTTGGCGGCAAAGGTGCATGCAGAGCGGATAATGTACAACATGGCACAAGCAGTGACACCCATCGCAGCATCAAGTTGCGAGGATGGGAGATGCTTGAGTGTGTTGATAATGATCTCGTAAGTAGCACCGCGAGTGCTGAATTCAGCAGTCTCGCCAAGCATGGTCGACACTTGTCCTGAGCAAATGTTGAGAGCAGAGCCTGTCATGAAAGCCGAAATAGCCGGGAGGGGAATGAAGTCGACAATGAATCCCAGGCGGAAGATACCCAGCACGAACACAATTCCACCACAGATGATGGCAAGGGAAGATGCAATCAAATGAGCAGGGTAGTCCGGGTAGGTTTTTTGTACATCGAGCACGATAGTTCCAGTCAGAGTGGACATAACCGCGACGGGCTAGATGATGTTAGCGTTGATCCGGGTGTTCCGTCGATTGCAATATCACTCACTCCGATTGTAATATCCTTAGATGTGGCGAAGAACCAATAAATCAAAACTCCCATGAACGAGGAGTACAAACCGTACTGCACTTCCAGGCCCGCCAATTTGGCATAGGCCATACCTTGTGGCACCACGACGGCACCGACGGTGATACCGGCGATCAGATCACCATACAGCCATTGCAGGTTGTAGTTGGTAATCCATGTGAGGAAAGGGAACAAGCTGATGAAGTATCGGCCCAATTGGCGAGGCGAGGGGAGGACTTCGGTGATCCATTCCCAACTTGTCGGTTCGGGTTCGTTGTATAGGTTTGTGTCGACGGTGCCCATAGAGAATGTTGATTCACCTCTGGTCACAGGGTCGGCAGTTGCGCCCAGAGGGTCTCTGTAAGCAACCTTGATACCGAGGCCCTTGGCCAGGGTCGAGCCCAGCTTGGATGAGGTTTCACCGCTCATACTGTAAGCCGGTGACAATCTGGACAGCCGGGATTGGACGGAAATTCGAGATCACAAATGTCCAAAATTGTGGGAGGTGACGATCAAGTATATAAAGAATATTCGAAGGATGTCAGACCAGACGATCCCATGCAAAGAATTCGAGAAAAGAAAAAAAAGAAAAAAGAATAAGGGAAAATCCCAAATAGCAGTACTGCGTGATTGGGACCCAAATGGCGCAATATCGAAAAAGCTCCCCGGATTCAATTTAACATTTGAATTTTCCCGCTTGGCTCGGCTTGGAGGCGAATAGTGCGAATTTGAAAAGAAAAACACGAAATCGAGATTGGACACAATCTGGATGAGGTGCTTTCTAGGATGAGATTCAAAATTAAAACCGGCACACTCAAGCGACACAGCTCTTAAAGGGGATTCTGGAATTCGCACGGCAGCCGGTCCACCGATGATCTCGAGCCGATCAAGGCTATTCGAGGTCCCACTGGGTCTGGATGACGACCGTGGAGTATCCGCTCTGTCCTCCGTATGGGGCCCGCGGAAGTGCTTTATTTAACCGTTTCAACAGATGTCGCACGTTCGCTTCGTACCTGGTCGCATGACCGTTGACTCACGGCTCCAGCATATCCTGGCTTCGAGCATGAATTTGAGCTGAGGGCGCATAGTAGGGAGCACACAGCAGTGTGTGTAGAGAGAGAAGTGCCAAGGCGTGGGCATGACGAATGACAGTGCGCCTCAGTGAGTTTTGCCCCGAGCAGATCAGCCCGTGGGGCCACAAGACCAATCACGGACCTTTTAGAACACGCAATCTCAACTGGCGATGGTGAAAGCACTGAAGTTTCCACGTTTCCACTCCACGTTCTTTTTAGTCGAACCTCTGGAATGTTTCATGAAGTTTCTTTTTCTTGTCTCTCTTATCTCCGGCTTTCCACCGCCTTGGCAATTTTAATCTTGATTTGTGGACTTCGTCTATACACATATTTTCCCAGACAAGACTAGTTGATGAGGAGGCTCTTGCGTACCTCCTATACGAGTCCGCCTTCCCGTTCCGAGATGTCTAAACGAGTCTCCATTTTCCTCCCTAGTCCCTTTTCGTCTTAAGCTCAATATCAGAACACTATACAGTGACAGGGGTCCGGGCTCGGCGTTCCTTACTCTATCTGTTAGGTGCATACATACGGAGTACCTCGTACACAGCATTAAACATTAGTTCCAAATGATCGGCCAACCCCATACGTTCTCCCCAGGGCCGTTGATATCCGGATGAGGTCAGAGGTCAGAAGTCTTCCTCCCACCATTCTATATCTCGTATTCTATGGGTGTTCTATGGAAAACCCCTCAGTTGTGTTGATAAAAAATATCTCAATATTTGCTAGATGCCGCTAAAATATGCATGTTCTTCCCCTGCAGTGTGCCCAGTCCACTTGGTGAAGTTGTCATTTAGATCTAAATCACGTCATCGAGCTCCCTCGTTGGTCAGCGGCATAGAATACTCTCAGACTGCTCAAAAGTCCGGAACTAAAGCTCTTGGATGCTCTCGGTGTCTGATGTTTTTAACTTAAACTTTACAAGCTATTTCTATTCGGGCTAATGAGCTCTGATTTACTGTTCTGGCTCCAGTCTAGCTCCCGCCCAGGCTTTCTGGTGCCATCTCATACTCAATCTTCCATCATGCAACGCCCCTTTTCCCGGGCATTTGTAAACACTGGGCATCTGCGGTCTTTCCAAATGGGTGAAACATCTCCGACATAAATGGGACCAAAAAAAAAAACAACGCAACTTGAGAAGGATCGCGCAACAGCTGACTTTGATGCCAAGACCTATAAGTTCGTTCTTCGGAGTACTTCGTCTTCGTATGCATCTCCGTTCGTTTTTCCACGGAGATAATCTGGTTCAGCCTCGCCGTGGCTGACGGCTTGTTTAATCTTACTGAGTCTCTTACTAGGCGATCCCGGTTGGCCAGGGCAATCAATTTAGCTTTTGTTTTCTTTTGTCTTTTTTTCTCTTTTCTTTTTGCCTTTTGCCTTTTGCCTTTTGTCTCTCTCATTTCATCCTCGCTACACCCAAGCCGCTAACATGCAATAGCGGAACGTTCTCACTACGGGATCTCCCCAATCTGATCCCCGAGTCCCCCTTTCCCTCGACATATCAACACGAGATTGTGCCGCTGGCCGATCCTAACGCCCCAAGCACGCCATACAAGAGCTTCATTTCCTCGATGGCTGTACGGCTGATGTCACGGCACATCACTGGCGCTCGTTTGTGTTTCCCGGTATGCAAATGTAGTGACTGAGCGTTCGGTCACGTTTGCGGGGAGACCCGAAATGAACTTACTTGGATAAAGCCAGTGAAAAGAGAGATATTGTCACAGATACCACGTAAAGAGATCAGCTGTGGGAAATCAACCGAGATACGCGAGTTCAAATTGGGTTATCCCTGCATGGCTCACGTGGCTGCATATACAAGCTGCTTATTGGCTTGGCCCGGCTCAAAGTTCGGTCTACGGAGTGTGGGTTTCATTTCACAATTCTGCTTTTTTCTTTTGTCATCTACGAGTAGGATGGCGGACTTTCGCATTCTGAGCTCGTTTGCCTGGTTGCTGGGATTAGCTATGAGGTTGTGTTGGGGCTGGTTGTAGGTTTGGATACATCATCTAACGCCTGATCAGCTTGTCTCACTACAATTTCGCGGAGCTCTACCGTCTGGTCGTACAGAATACCCCGTCAGTCAGCTCTCACTATGAGACCGGGCTGAATATTCTCAAGGTCATTTCACCATTGCCTATTTGCCTCCTGCACAGCCACGGGGCATCTACAAAGTGCAAATAACCGAGTGCAAAAAGCAAAGTACATTGCAGGCACTATTGGACCATTCAGCCATACCTAATTTCGCCACAGCACGGAAGTATTGATTCCAAAGTGCAGCCCAGGTGCAAAGAACCGAAGGCCCTGGCGATCTTGAGGTCGCCATACCCCCTGGAAATCACGTATGCCGTTCTAGATCAACGCAAGAAATTTTAAGGCGCACGGCTCGACCGTTTTCGGTTCATGTAGGGTGTTCAACAGCGGAGGGAACGTTGGGTCGAGCGAGTTGAGAGCCCCGTTCAAATTTGTCGGAAGACGATTTTAATGCTTTCGAGGGGTTTTCCGTCAACTCACCGAAGATTAAGGTTACTGCTTTGTGTAGATCACAATACAAAGGCAATCCGGTGCCAAAGCATCGCGGCAAACAGTGCCTCATTCGATAAATAACCGAGTTCCAGAAGTCACTATCTTTACTCATGCATTCAGCATCGCCAAAGATAAACAATCCATCTCTGGCCCGAGACAAGGCAACACAGGCCCTGTTCAACAGAGCAGTAAAGCCAATACCGCGGAGCATGTTACTCCTGACCTTGGATAGCAAGACAATATTATCTTCACCATGGATGGCACTTCGCTCTTCCAGCGAGGAATGTGGTAATCTGCCGCAGTTTCAGAATTTCGTTTGTGGATCAACTGAGCGAAACGAGCTCGTCTTCAAGATTTCGGTATCCTTCAGAGAGTCTTGAGATGTCTTATGGCACTGGCTTTCATCTGCAATATGTGAGTTAAAAGAACGAATTTCAGCTCATCCATACAAACAGTACCTATCAGTGTGCTCTTCAACTGTCCTCTCGCCAAGACCAGGTGAGAGCAAGGTGACTTCGGTGGTTCAACGCCAGACAATCGACCACTTGATCGCCGAAGGGACCCATTCTTTGTTCAGTTGGCGAATCAATCCTTGTCGAGGTTTAGATGGGTTTTTGGTGGGGGTTCATATGGATTTAGCACTCACCTGTTTCTTAGGTTGCTTGCTTGGCCCTTCTGAAGCCTTTGAGTATACCGAGCCTGGGAGCTCAACACCCGCTGCTCGGTTGGCGAATGTTCATTGCAAATTGGGAATCCACGCGATCAGAAATCTCAGTGTGATTTTCTGTCTGGGACAGGGATCGTTTGCGAGATATGAGGGGCGAGTCGTTGTTGCTCGCTGCGGGCACATCAGGCACTCGCGGGGTTGTGGTACCGCTGCGTTGCCAGAAGCTATGCAGGGTTGTTCTCTGCTTTCGTAGAGTTTGTTTTGGCATTGTTGGTAGGTTTCACTTACTTTGTTAGCAACTTTTCAGTCAACTTGCAATGGATTGCAATGGATGGTGAAGGTATCAGTGGCGAGTCCTTGTTGCTAGCTGCGGGCACATCAGGCACTCGCGGGGTTGTGGCACCGCTGCGTCGCCAGAAGTCCATCTTTCGCAAGGCTGCTCACCGAATTGGGTTGTTGGTCGGGAGTAGGATCCGATCGGGCAGACCACGCACGGATTCCATGGTTGCTGACAAGGCTTCTTGATACAGGAAATGGTTGCTGGGAAGCGCCACTTGAAGGTCGCTGTGGTGTTTGTGAATGTGGTCCGCGACTTTGCCTAGGACCATGCCTGTTGGGTATTTCTGAGGCAGATCCATGTTGAAAGAAGTGTCACAAGAGATAATGCCTATGTCCACGGTTAGCTGGATGTGGCACTACCATATGTGTGAAATAACCTACCTGCATGGGCAACAAAGACCTCAACCTTAGGTGGTTTTCTGCTTTCATACAGTTTGTTTTGGCATTGTTAGTGCCTAGATATTGTTAGCAAGTTGATTCGCAATTGTTTGCGATGATGGTGAAAACCTTGGAGGAGAAGAAGAGGGTACCCCTCGATGAAGAAAGTGGCAGGTGCACCATTGTAGGGCGGCAACAACGTTTTGCAGTTCTTCATGTGACATACATCTCTTACATGTACTAGCACTGATGAACATGAGTGTAAAGGCAATATTGAAATATCTGATTCATGAGGGAATATCCGATCCGTGGAGTCAGACCCGCCATGCACATAACCAGAGTGCTTATGTTTTTTGGAACATGTACTCCATAGGTATTGATCGATTGAGAGATTTTCACCATGAACATTGTCTTTTTTCAGGTTTTAGATCGATGATTGCCGAAGTTCGGATGAATATTTGTTGGGGGTTCAGATGGCTATAGTACTCACCTGCTCAACCTTTCGGTCATCCTGACTCCATCGTTTCAAGTCCCTTTTTCATTCGCCCAGTAGGCTTAAGAGTCTTCACAAGCCCTGGAATACATCAAGCTTGAGAATTCAATACCTGTCGCTCAGTTGGCAAATGTTCATTGCAAATCGGGAATGATATGCATGTCTTACCTGTTGGGCCCGGTGGGCTCGCGCCTGTTGGCGGCGCATCTTCGCCTCTGCGACTTCGAGGTTGCGGACGAGTTGTTCTTGACGGTGGTCATATCGAAGAGTTTTTCGAAGATTGTAGAAAGAAGTATTGTAGAAAGAAGTAGGTAATTGCATCAGGACTCCGCGACCTTTCAATATTTTTAGGGCGTTATTGTCACATTGTTTACGATACTCGCAAATAAGACGGTAGCACTCCTGGAACTACCTTCAATTGCAGTATGGAGGTTCCGATATTGGAAATAACATGACATCTATAGATGGACACTGTCCAATAGCGAGATACCGTAGTCGAGTGACACGAAGAAATTTCATCTTTCGCACTTCAACTCAACATACGGAGTACTAACACATGCGATACCAGTCCCACCAACCTTGGAGGGCAGGGGACCTTGCGGGTCCCAGTGCTCTTAACAACCTTGGAATCTCCCACTGCGCTTTACAATTTCCCACTACACTCCTTCAACATCGGAAAGTCTCTACCGTCGGCAATGCATTGAAGCAACAAAAACACAATGTCTATTGGAGGTCGTCAAGTGCAGGCTAGAAATAAGGAAAAACATGGAGCATGATCATGTCGAAGAAATCCTTTGCAGACGCCGAAGAAGCCCTCATAAGAATGCAGGTCTTCTAGGCCCGATCTGAGCCCTCAATCGTGGTCTCATCTCATCCGTCTTCTGTTCATGACGCCTTTCCATCAGCGCAACTCCGGTCCGACACAAAAACCCCAGATTCCAAAAGTAAAAGCAAGAAAAAGCAATGGTAAAGATGCTGAATAAGGATTGGGGCAGTATGGGAATGGTCAAGAGGATTACAGGAAAGGTTGAAATTTGAAATTGAGAAGGGGGGGAAATGATATCTTCAAAAGTCTTGAGAGGAAACGCCATTGCAAAGAAAAACAAAAAAAGTTCCCCGTGTCTATCGGGGCTGAGGCGGCCTCCCTTCACATGGTTTCATAAGCGAAGTTTTCATGACTGGCCGGTCTTCAACACCCTTTTCACGGTTTCTCCGAAGTCCTTTTACTGCGAGGCACACTGCACACGCTCAGCACCGGCTGGCACATCGTCATCATCATCGTCCATGCCGGCACCGGCGGCGCCGTGGGCACGGGCCTGGTCGGTCTCGTTCTCAGGGTCCTCGAGCTCGAAGTCCTCAACCATGGCGTCGGTGGGAGGAGTGTGCTGAGAAATGCGGGGAGGGAGAACCTTCTCGAGGAGGTCCAGGTTCTGGAGCTGGTCCTTCTCGGGGAACTTGACATCGAACTTGATGTACAGGTTTCCGTGGTCGTGGTGGCGGAACGAGGGCATACCCTGGCCGTGGATGACCTTGATGGCGTCTGGGGGAGGAAATGTTAGCATAAGACTCAATATTTGGGCTGATATGGAACAGGAAACATACCAGGAACGATAACCTCGCCGGGGGCGATGTTGACGGTCATCCACCGGTCGTCAAGGTGCTCAATGTGGATAGCACCGCCAGCAAGAGCGGTAAGCAGGTCAATTTCGGCCTGGTAGAACAGGTCGTCGTTCTTGCGCTGGAAGCGGGGGTGGGGCTTCTGCTCAATCTCGAACACGACATCACCGGGGAGTGCACCAGGCATCTGGTCACCCTCACCACGGAACTCAATCTTGTGGCCATCACGCACACCCTTGTCAACGTGGACGTGGAGGACCTTGCGCTCGACAACAGTCTTCTTGGCGTTACACTTCTTGCAGCGGTCCTTGTCACGGACGCTCTCACCCTCACCGTTGCAGTCAGGGCAGACAGTCTGGAAGCGCTGGATCATAGGGCCCATCTGGCGCATCATGGTCTTCATACCACTGCCATTGCAACCAGCGCACTCCTTGACAGCGCCCTCCTTACCACCGCGACCATCACAGCCACCGCAGATAACAGACTTCTGGAGTGCCAGCTTAGACACCTTGCCCTTGTAAATGTCCTCAAGGTTAACCTTGTGAACGTGGTGGATTGTGCGAGCCTTCTTGGGGCCAGTGTCACGCATGCCACCACCGAACATTCCACCGAAGGGACCACCACCGCCGCCGCCGAAGAATTGAGAGAACAAGTCCTCGGCGTTCATACCACCGCCACCACCACCGTGCTCCAGGCCCTCCTCACCGAGCTGGTCATACAACTGACGCTTCTCGGGGTCGGAAAGACACTCATAGGCGTGCGAAAGTTCCTTGAACTTCTCTGCGGCCTCGGGGTTGTCGGCGTTCTTGTCTTGATACCCAAAATCCATCAGCCAGTGTTCTCTCACGCATCGCTTATCGGGGCGGGGATATCACATACCAGGGTGGAATCGGAGAGCACCCTTCTTGTAGGCAGTCTTGAGCTGAGCCTCAGTCGCTGTGGGGGAGACCTAAAGTGACAAACACATCCAGTCAGACCCATGATCACGTTATGCTGATTTCTCTTTTGATTTTCACATACCCCGAGGGTGTCGTAGAACTTGGTTTCCTTAACCATGATGGATGTGCGGGGGGAATCAAGGGTGTGGAATGAGGGACAAGTCTTAGTCTGGCTTCTCGAAACAAAGCAGACAAACTAGACAAAAAGCCTTTTGAACGTCAAGGCTTGGAGGAATATACAGGTGCCAAATGGACAACAATTGCAGATATATGATGTCCTGGCGGGATGGGGGGGGGGAAAGAAGAGAAAGAGAGGGTCTTGGACAATAATCGACACTCCAAAAAAGGCTGAGTAACTTTTTTTTTGCCCAGGCACCACTGTATGGGGCTCGTAAAATGACCGGATAAATTACCAGGGCGAGATATGTTTTCTATGGAATTCTTTGTTTCTTGACTGTTGACCTATTTAGAGATAAAGAATCCCTTCCCTCCCATACTTTTATTTCTTCGTCTTATACGTGCAACCTGGTGATTTGTATCTGATATGGCCCGAGCGCTGATTCTACGGAATTCTGCGGCGTTCGACTGTCTTCGAATGGCTTCGCATGTCTTCTCCGCGATTCCATGCAAAATTACTGCTGACTCAGTTTGGGGGCCTGTATTATACAGGTACAATTTACTTACCGAGGGCGTCTACTACGTACATATTAGGTATCACATTATACTGAACTATATAAAGTGTCTAAATGGTATACTTTCAGACTTAACTATGAATTACACACTCATATACCTCAAAATGGCTATACTTCAAAAACATGTAACAGAATAACATGCAGAGATTTCGAATCGCCACTACCGCCACCAGATCTCTTATCGATAAAGATAAACACGGGGAGTAGGAAGTTCGGCATTCTCCGGTCCACTTGACCCCTCCAACAATCACCTTTTCAAAATGGAACAAGATCCTGGATTCATCGCTGCTGTTGAGGAGGCAAGGCAGGGTCTCGCCGAGGGTGGCGTGCCAATTGGTGCAGCCCTCGTCTCCAAGGACGGCAAGATCCTAGGCCGAGGTCACAACCTGCGTGTGCAAAAAGGAAGCGCCATTCTGCATGTCAGTGACTCTTGAGATACTACTGTGGACATGGGTGGTCTAGAATAGCCATGTCCATTGTAGGGACCGGGGACTATATGCTAACGTTGACAAGGCCGAGATGTCTGCCCTCGAAAACTCTGGTCGTCTGCCTGCTTCTGCGTACGAGGGTGCGACTATGTACACCACCCTCTCGCCCTGTGACATGTGCACTGGTGCCTGTCTGCTCTACAAGGTGAAGCGTGTGGTCATTGGTGAGAACAAGAGCTTCATGGGTGGTGAGGATCTGTTGAAGAACCGCGGTGCGGAAACCGTCGTCCTGGACAACCAGGAGTGCAAGGATTTGATGGAGAAGTTCATGAAGGACAGCCCTCAATTATGGTATGTTTTAGGTGTTTGGTTTGCAGGGCAGAGTGCGAGTCTTGTATCAGGACTTGCCAATCTCATCATCAATACTAACTGTAGTGTCCGCTGTTCAGGAACGAGGATATCGGTGTCTAACTTGACAAGGCATGCATATATCAATCCCACACATATCTGGAAATCGAATCACCCCTCAAGAAGTGGGAATACTTTTAAATCCAAAGTCATATCTTTTTAGAAAGAGCCTCAAACAGAATTGGGCATATGAACAAAATTAAACAGTCAAGCGGTGGATCTCTTCAAAGAAGAACTTGAGGTGCTCGGGGTCGACAAAGGGAGTCACGCCTGCGACTATTAGCATAAAGTACTTGGCTTTAAACGCATAATTATGCATTAAAGGTGGAGATGCGACTTACCGTGACCCAAGTTGCAGATCCATCCCTGCTTGCCCTTCTTGAAACCCTCGACCATGGGCTCAACGGTGGCAGTAATTGCCGGCCGGCCACCGTAAAGCATACCGGGGTCAGCGTTACCCTGGATAGTCACACGGCCATTGGCAATGCGCATAGCCTCGCCGGCATCGTGCAGCCAGTCCAGGCCGACAACATTGTATCCAGAGTCACAAAGGTCATCCAGGGCATACCAGGCACCCTTGGCGAAGACAGTCATAGGAACAGGCTCCAGGCCCATTTCTTGCAACCGCTTCGGTAAGTGGGCAGAGATGTGGCGGAGGTAAGGAAGTGAGAAGGACTTGAACGAGGCGGGGGACAGCTCGCCGGCCCACGAATCAAAGACCTGCACCAGCTGTGCTCCAGCGGCGACCTGGAGTGCCAGGTATTCAACACAGATCTCAGCAATCTTTTGCAGCAGAGCTTGTGCCTCCTTGGGATACTTATACACCCACTTCTTGGACTGCACGAAGAGCTTGCTGCCACCGCCTTCGACCATGTAGCACAACAGGGTCCACGGAGCACCGCAGAAACCGATCAGAGGCACGCGACCCTTCAGCTTGAAGCGTGTGAGGGAGATGGCCTTGTAAACGTAGTCCAATTCTGTCTTGACGTCCACATCCTTTGCCATCACCTTCTCGTATTGTCCGTCCGTTGGCGAGTCAAGCGGTTCCGGGAAATGAGGTCCCTTCTTGTCTACCATCTCAACAACCATTCCCATGGCTTGGGGAATGACCAGGATATCGGAGAAAATAATTGCGGCATCGATCAGGCCTTCATAGCGCTCAATGGGCTGGAGAGTCAAGGTCGATGCGATTTCAGGTGTGCGGCAGCATTCGAAGAAGTCGCGGCCGCCCTTGGCCTCGTGGTATTCGGGGAGGTACCGGCCAGCTATTGCATGGATCGTTAAGTTAGTTGGATATTCTGGGGGAATTGATGTCCGTCAGGCAACTCTTACCCTGTCGCATAACCCAAATGGGAGGACGTTCGACCTTCTCGCCTACGATTGTCAGCACCGGTCAGCACCTAAAAGTCGGATCAGACATACCCCGTGCCGCTCTCAGCAGCAGGTCATTCTTCAAAGGCTCAAATTGTTCCTGCATTGTGTTGGTTGGATATGCAAGTGGGATGGTGGAGGGGAAGTGGGATTCCAAAGTTCCTCCGGGTCCTCCGTACCGCGGCCCGCGATTAGACCGGAAACCAGTATGCGGGTGGTTTTCTACAGCTACATTGCTTCTACGTAGTGAGGTCGGCTTGTTTTAAAACAAAATATCTTCGAGATATTCTTGCATGGAGTGGAATAAACGAACTTCGATGTTTTCTCTTCTTTGCACAGCGTTAGTGGGCCATTTTCACGGATGTATATATCCACTTCCACTCAGTGCTGCGAACACACTGCTACAGAGAACATAACCTTGGAAATCTTGGAAATCATCATTTCGTGTGTATTTGATACTTAAGTACTCTAATATTTTGCTGTACATCCTTCAGATCGCGCACATTTAGTCATCGCTTCCATCTCTCTTACGCAGCTTGGACAGACCGTACACTGCATCATTGAGCTCGACTTGTTTCTTCTGCTCCAACGCCTCAGGCACACTTGAAGTGCCCTCATCATTGATATTGAGAACCGAAGAGTCTTCAATTGGAGCCCATTTGCCGGCACTGACCCGGAAAGTCTCGAGAGGGGGCTGGGAAATCGATTTCCAGACAGTAGTGGAGTTGGGTTGACGCAGTGTATCCACGGATACAACGATGGAGCCCTTTGAATCGATGGCAGCCAGATCAAGGACATTCCCACAGAGCTCGAGAGTCTGCTTGAGGGCCAAGGTGCCATTTTCAAGAGAGAAACAAAGAAGTTGTGCGGATCTGCTTGCAGTGTTAGAAGATGATTGAATATGATGGATAATTATGAAACTTACCCTTCCAATGAAACGAAAATGGTTCTGACGGAAGCCGCATCACCTGCTGCAGGACTGAACGAGACATCCCAGATACCGCTGACTGTGAGGTCTGTCTCGGACTCGGGGAGCTGGACCTTCTGTAAGATCTTGTTCTCAAGCCAGTCCCATACGAGCAGATGGTCATCACCACCACCAGAGACGAGAACCCTGGGCTCCCAAGAAGGAACGCACAAGCTGCTCACAAATGAAGTGTGACCAAAGCAGAATTGCTCAATGACATGAGCCTGGGGAACACCACGAGACACGCGGATGTGCTCATCGCGGTCTGCAGTCAGAATGTAGTTCCGTGCACCGACAGTCGAGTCTGCAGGTCGCGAAACAGAGATCAAGTTTGTCAAAAGCGAGACATGGCCGATGATGAGCTGATGCTCAAAGTTCAGTGCGACTCGTTCTTCCGGGTTGGCTTTAGCCAATGCGGCCTGTTTCATCTGCTGCTCCAGGGATTCCAGATTGCGTTTTGTGTGCACTGTAAGGTTTGTGGCAGCTGGCTCATAGGCCTTTGCCTGCGGTTGAGACCTCACATAGTTTTCACTGGGAATGAGTGGGAAAGCATACACATCTCCGAACTTATCACCGACCAGAATGGTGCTCTCGTCAGGTGTCAGAGTAAGTGCACTCAGTTTCTTGGGCATTGTACTGAACTTGGTAAGCTCGAGAAATCTGCACGTTGGAAATAGTCACTCACCGAGCACTCAATTGCTGAAGTTTTCCATCTTCGGCCAGACTAAGAACTCGAACACACTTGTCCTCAGCAGTCATGATAATTACATATTTGCTTTGGGCGACGGCCACAAGTGGAATGTTGGTCCATAAATTGGATTCCTCTTTCTTCGAATCCTTCTTCGAATCTTTGGACTTAGCCTCAGACTCGGGCTTTGCGTCTTGTTCTGCATCCTTTTCATCACCAGCAGGTGAAGAGAGCTTTCTGCGCTTCTCTGGTGGGCCTTGGCCTTCGGATGCTGGGGTTGCGCCAGAGGTTTCTCCGGCCGAGGTTTCATTTACAGGCTCAGGCCACACATCCAAGCGCTGCCCACTAGTCACATCCAATGAAAAGAGATTGCGACCAGCGGTGGCCACGAGGATATCCGACAGGCCAGCTGGCTGCCTGTTGACATATCGCAGACATTGGAACGGGTGCTGGAGGCCAACCATCTTGTGGTGATTGCGTCTTCAATTGGTACAAAAGCCACCAAATAAAAGCTGAGCTGCACGACGTATTCGTAGAACAGACAGTCAGCGAATCGAAACCCCTAAAGATCCTTGAAACCGAAGTCGATGACCACCATCGCTATGCCATTCGGGCGGGTCTACTTTTTGCGTCACGTGACCCACTAGCGAGCGCACCAAAAAAAAGTAATCTTCCCGAATTCCCCCCATCTTCTTTTCCTTCTCCATTAACCACTACAACAACCTTGACTTTCCCTTAAACAACCTCTCTTCGAGAAACTAAGAAGAAATGGGGGGCAAGTCCGCAACCAAGACCGCTTACTTCGAGAAGCTCAAGCTTCTGGTGAGTGACCCAGCTTTTGAAAACCTTTGTACCTTGCGAGGTACCGCATTCAAGTCCATTGCTAACCTGATTCTAGCTTGACACTCACTCTTCCATCTTCATTGTTGGAATTGACAATGTCTCTTCCCAGCAGATGCACGAGATCCGTATCGCCCTCCGTGGCGAGGCTACCGTGCTGATGGGTAAGAACACCATGGTCCGCCGTGCCCTCAAGGGCTTCGTTGCCGAGAACCCCGAGTTCGAGAAGCTCCAGCCTTTCGTCAAGGGTAACATTGGTTTCATCTTCACCAACGGTGACCTCAAGGACATCAAGGAGAAGATCCTGGCCAACCGTGTCGCTGCCCCCGCCAAGGCCGGTGCCGTCGCCCCCGATGATGTCTGGATCCCCGGTGGTAACACTGGTATGGAGCCCGGTAAGACTGCCTTCTTCCAGGCTCTCGGTGTCCCCACCAAGATTGCCCGTGGTACCATTGAAATTGTCTCCGACCTCAAGCTCGTTGAGGCCGGTAACAAGGTCGGTGCCTCCGAGGCCTCCTTGCTGAACCTGCTCAACATCTCTCCCTTCACCTACGGTATGACCATTGCCCAGGTCTACCAGGAGGGTCAGGTCTTCGGTGCCGATGTCCTCGACATCTCCGAGGAGCAGCTCCTTGCCACCTTCTCCAAGGCTATCTCCACCATCACTGCCGTCTCTCTCGCCGTCAGCTACCCCACCCTTCCCGCCGTTATCCACAACCTGGTCAACGGTTACAAGAAGGTCCTCGCTGTCGCCATCGAGACCGACTACAGCTGGCCCGAGATTGATGAGCTCAAGGACCGCATCGCTAACCCCGATGCCTACGCCTCTGCTGCTCCCGTCGCTGCCGCTGCCACCTCCGGTGGTGAGGCCGCTGCTGCCGCCGCTCCCGCCGAGGAGGAGGAGGAGTCCGATGATGATATGGGCTTCGGTCTCTTCGACTAAGCGCATTCTCATTGAAGGAATACGACTGCCATGTATTAGATTTACTTGAACCGGCGCTCGAAATAGCGACCGACAATGAAACTTCATGACACGGCAATGGATTTCCGTTGGAAACCTAGGACTCGTATAATGGACGTAGCTACGCCCATTGTTCGTTTTCCACAAACTTGGTGAGTCACTTTGTCTTTTTTTTCCTCTCTTTTCTTTTCTATACTGCACCACACCTTCCTGGCGGATGATGAGACATTTTTAACCCCGAGCATTACGGCCCCTCCTGGGGTCGCACTGACGATCTAAATGCAACAACAACACTCTAATTTTTTCCTGACGCCATCCACTTTACACATTTTTTTGCTTTTGACTTGACTTTGCAACAATTGCTAACTTGTGATCAGTTTACAGATGTTCTCATGCGACTTGTGGTCGTAGGGTTTCTCGTAGACAGGCGTGTAGGTGGCTGGATTTCCTGTTGATTCCTTGCGCAACTACGGTAATAGCTAGTCGCTCAATGAAAACTCTTCCCAGGCACTTTTTTTTTTTTTTTTTTCTAACTTGTTTTTTCTTAAATTAGTAGAATATTTTGTCTTCCAAAAAAATAAAAGGCAAAATAAAAAGACTCTTTA